ACACGCGTTCTCCATCCGCTCCCCGCGACGGGCGACGAGTTTAAAGCCCGTATCACACGCGCCGTTGCCGGTTACGGTTACCGGTCGCGGTTGATCCCTCGGCCAATGAGAACGAAGCGGATCCCGGTTAAGCTCGTATCACACGCGCCGTTGCCGGTTACGGTTACCGGTCGCGGTTGATTCCCCAGCCCATGGGGCTAAAGACACAAGGTGAAACATTGCGCATGTAGCCAATTTTTGGGGCAAATTGTTCATTGGCTCTTCCTGCATTCAACCGCAATGATTTACAGTTGGAAGGTTGGGGCAAATTTCTGATTGGTTGACACTGCGCACCCACCAGATTGCTCCACCTTGTATTTTTACACCATGCCCCAGTCAATGAGAACGAAGCAGATCCCGGTTACGGTTCCCTGTTGTGAGTTTAAGTTCGAGTCTTAAAGGCCCGTCTACATAGGCCGCGACACGCCAGACGCAACTCGCAGACGACATCGCGTAAAGAGATTGGTGTCTACGTTAGGCGCGGGAGTCCACGCGACCAAAGCGTCAGCCAATTTGGACGAAACAAGAAGGTTATTTCTTATTAGTGAATCTTGTGCAATTCTCTCTATTAATTGGTAAAAAGCTGCATCACGCGACGTACCGTCGGAGTTACGTAGCCGAGAAGCCTCCGGTCTGAGACCGGTGTTCTCTCACATTTATGTCCAGAAGTCAATTTGCGACACATAATTCCAGTATGTGCTCGTGACATTTATTATTATAATCAAACTGCACTCAACTAGAATCCACGACTACATGCAATGCACAACGTAACCAAAAGTGGTAGGCAAGATTTTGTTCGCTATTTTATGTTATTCCGATTGGTCGACGCAGTTAACGCAACGCAGAGAGTTGAGGTCTGTTCAACTTGTCGTCAATGCAGTGAAACGTCGCCTTGCGTGCGCGTCCGCGAGCTGCGTCCGTGTAGACGGACCTTAACGCGTTGACAATATCCATCGGATATGGTCGATAGCGCGCGTGCGGATTTTTCAAATTCTCAACCGCGTGAAACGCGGACCAGCTGCGCCGTTCTTTCCCCACGGTGCCCCGCGGCAGTTTCGTGCCCCTCGTTAACGGGAACCCGCGTCCGTGCGCGCATATCCGAGGTCGAGGCGGCTAATTAGCTATAACTTTCCGCAAATGGATTTTAGCGCGCGATACCGCCGGCTTTATTGCACCTCGCGGTCGCGGCCGAGAGCGCCGGCGCAAATCGCGATCGGCTCCGCGTCCGGTTCGGTCCGGTCGGAGGATCGCGACGCGATGACCATTCGGCGCGACTGTTACGGACTTAATTATGCAATATTCTGGAGCGCGGTTTTGTCGCCGCGGACCTCGCTCTCTTTCCGCATCGGCCGCGCGGGCGATAAGCACAAACGCGCCGCTTGATCGATCGTCGCGCGGCACTTTCCCACGTTACGATTACGAAATGCAATTTGCTCTAGAATGGTAACGCGTACTCGTAACCGCCGCCGATGTTAACCTTATTAGTTTTCTTTTATCTGGGCTGCGCAGACTTCGCGACAGCCGCTGACGAAGTTCCATTAAATAAAGTGATCTTTAATCAATTATCCGCGATCTGCGAGCAGCCGTTTTGCCCTCTTGCGTAAGCGGCAAAGAATACGAATTAGCAAATCGAGGTTCATTTATAAATGAGGCAGAACTTTTAAGACCCGCAAAATGATCGATATTATCCCGATATGCCGTGAAATAGCTCGGAATCGTGAGAAAGTCCTCCTGAAAAGAGTGCAATTTCTTACACGGCAGTTATCCATCGCTAAGTACGCCCACAGAAAAAATTTCCGGATCCAATGCTATTACACTTGAATGCATCATAAAATAGGATCGATATCGCGCCAATCATATTTATTATAGAGAAAGGAATATTTTAATCTTGAATGAAACATTCTCAAATCTAGAATCAACTGATAGTATAACGTGTCGTCCTTTGTCGAATATTGCGGTGCCAACTTCGTGCGTTGTAAGTTGGAGGGACAATTTATTCTAAACGCAGGAATATATAAGCTTATTATTTATATAAGTTACTCTGGTCTCAATATAGTAAGTCAATCTTTTTTAATTCGATAGAGGAGAATAAGAATTATTGGTGAGTTAAGATAAGGGCGATAAGAGCCTTTGACAAATTTTTAATACAACATTTAAAGGTGTTTTTACGTAGATGGAAGTGTCGAATCGCTATTGTTCCTACACGGAGCCTTCATTAACATAATTAAGGATTCTAGATTTTATTTTGATATTGTCTCATTTTTACACTAAATGAAGTTGTGAGAAGCGCGTCAAGAATACTTTTGGTCTCGGTAACAGAGATCCTTTCCGAGGGTGTACGTTTATACCGTGGTTGCACCGTAATTCCGAATAGTATTTACAGACAGTCGATAAACAGCCGATAACGAGCGGGGAATGTCGTTTCACATCTAATTACCGCGGCCGCGAGAGTCCCGGTGCGTGCGACCGGCAATACGTCACCGATTAGATTCGTTTGCCCTTTCCCTTCTGAACTCTCCGCTAATGCAGGCACGCATTTAGAAATTGCCGGCTTTGTCGCGACCGTATCGCGCTTATTCACCGGAAATTAATGGGCGCGAAAAGAATAACTCGCGGATACGTCGACCATAATATCAATGAACTCGCCGCACGAGAGTAGCACGCGCAATTACGGTAATTAGATTTTATAGTAGTCGTTTTAACAACTCGCCCCTTATCTGCCCCGTCGCGGAATTACGCGCTGTAAAGACATAATAGGAAAAGGTGATCCAATAATATCTCTCCTGGCGAGAGTATTTATCTATTCGTCACGGTGTTTGGTGCAACGAACGGTCCTGACGGGCGCGATGCGTCGCGATTATAAAGTTCGCGCGTTGATAAGCGCCGCAGCGACGCAACGAGTTTTCACTTGACAAGACGTTATCGCGCGGAGCGCGAGATACTTAACCGACGAGATACGGAAATACGTATTGCCGCGAAACGTTAACGACTCGATAATGCACGGATGTGTGTACGCGCGAGTGTTCCCCAGTCGAAATTTCGGCCCTACGTTCAACCTTTAATTCGATTATACAGTAGGACCTAAGGCAGTAAAAAAGGTACGAACTGCAAGTACAAAATTTACTCCTACCTTAAAACTGATAGTGTCGGCAATTTCTACTTTTGCCACTTTAGCATTAAAGTAGGTCCTTTTAAGTAGAAACTAAAGTAAATTTTCAGAATGAGAGATTCAAGGGAGAAGTAAAAAAAATATAATGTCATCAAAGTAGGTTATTGCTGGTCTATGTAGGTATGTAGATCAGCTAAGTGGGTGAAAATTATCCATAAAAGTGTCAAAATAGTGTCAAAATTCCGACTCGGGTTGCGCGCAATTTATGATTCCGGCGTACAAATCGCTACGGGACGTAATACGAGGGTACGAGCGGCGCGTCTCGTGTGCAGCGATATAAAAGAATGCGCAACGCGAAGATGAATGTATTTATCAATTATATAAATTTATCGATCGAATTTTTGCGCAACGAAACGGCGAGTCTCGGATCCGTCTAGAAAATTGTTACCCGGGCACCAGGTGAGAAATGGCCGCGCTTGATTTATGAGGCAGAGAGCGGCTATTTCTCCGACTGCTTAACTATTGTTTCCTGACAATAAGCGTATATCAGATATGAATGACACGAAGAAACGTTCTCTATCATTCATCAAGCTGGCACTCGGCCGGGAAGTAAAGTAATTACACGTTTTCCTGTGTCACTTGAAAGGACCATCTATCTGCGCGATGCTGCAAAAAAGCAGCAATAATACCGGCATACTTCTTTCGAAAAGCAGATGATAATTAACTGCCCGATCAATAGCGCGAGGTGCCGTGACGCATAGCAGTTCGTTAAAAATAAGTTTTGCACGGGCGAGTCGTCCACGTGTTGTGCGATTGTGTACTTTTAAAATCCCCCGGCGATAAATCATACTTCGCCGATAAGTACGCGCGTATATACGTTGCTTAAATTGAACTGATAAGGATCTTAAATTATTTGCTACATCACGAGGATAGCTACGGCTCCGTGCGACGCCGACGAACTGTTTCGTTATGAATTACGAGATTATTCTCCCGCCACTTGCAAACGTTTATATATTTATACAGTTGCACCATTTTCACCTATCGAGGCGTGTCATAATTAATATACGTATATCTGTGTGTGTGTGTTACACGGTTCCTTAATTAATTGTTATTTGAAAAACGTGGCGGCCGATTTCACGAATAAACGATGTATTGCACGTCAATCGTGACAGTAGTAAATTGCAGCCGTTTTACAAACGCTTTCTCGCACAATGGCGAGAGAAACATTTTCTCCCAGTGTTTAAATATTTCCTCTCCGACGAAGAAATTTATACATTCGGCATTTGCGGCCGTTATACGCTTCTAATGAGAGATTCTATCCACGCGGATTGGGCAATCCCGCCGGAACAATGAGCGCGCAAAACCTGTTTCGCCATTTGAGAACGTTCCGCAATACACTTCTTCGAATATTAACTACGCGAAACCGCCAACTTCTGCGCTAGATAAACAATGGTAGTGAATTTTGATTAATCATATTATTATGCGGTGTCTTTACCGTTGCATTCCCATGCGCGAGCCCGCGTATAAAATACGCGGAATTTTGATGAGATCGTAACGCGGACGGTCCGCCATATTTCAACGGCGGTGTAAATCATCGTCCCCCGTTGACAAATCGAAGCCTCGTCGTCGCGACGCATCGCGCAGGCGATTTCAGCCGAAGATTTCATTATAAGACGCGCCTCGATGAATAACTTCCTCAAGTAATTCCTACAATAGATGCACTTCGCGGTGAATTACGATCGCCGCCATGCTACGGACGCGAGGCAAAGAAGAAGAAAAGAAGAAACGAATTGCCTAGCGCAGCGCACGAATATCGCTGAGGTAATATTGATCGTTCGATTGGACAGCTTACCCGAGGAAGGCCTGTCCGAGTATCTGGTGCAGTAGACCCACGCTGGCCACAACATCTTCCCAGGATCGGTCCCTCCGGTCGCGTTGGACGTCGCATTCCCAGCGGAGACGCCGGTAGGGGAGGCGTTGGTCGTCGCCGTCGTCGTCTCCGAGCTGCCCCTCTCGGAAGCGTCGGAGGACGACTCCAGAAAGTCCTTGGTCAGATCGATCGGCCTCGACGACACTTTCTTGGGCCGCGACTTCTTCAGGGAGATAGGATCCGTGATCCTCCTGCCGAAGTCCGCCTTGAGAATGTTATCTATACTGAACTTGAGGCCCGCCTGATGCTGCAGGTTGTTGTTGTTGTTGTTGTTATTGTTGTTGTGATGGTTGCCGTTGTTGCCGATGCTGTTCTGCACGCCGTTCGCGGCGGGCAAGGTACGGCCGTTCTCGTCCCGGGCGCCGGGCGACGCCGGGCTCCCGGGATCCCGCTGCAGGAGCTTGCTGACCGAGAGCCGGTGCTGGTGCACAGAGTTCGCCGGCACGTGCTGCACCTGCGAGCCCTGATGCAGGTGCGTGTGGGCGTTGGCGTGATGCAGATGCTGACTGTGATGCGGCATCAACGAGGTAGTCTCCCGCAGGTCTCGGCAGGCAGCGGGATGAAGGACGGGCGTCGTCGCTTGGAGCCCGGTGACCGTCATGGCCGACGGCGGTGACAACGAGAGTCTCGTCACCAGAGGAACGCTTATCGGCGTACGATGTAACCTCTCCACGGCGGGATAGACGATTTCGTGGCCGAGGCCGTGCTGGACTCGCGCCGAATAGTCGGAGATGTCAGGCTCCCTGGAGGAGTATCGGGCAAGAAGGTGTTGCTGATGACTGGATTGGTATCTAGGTACGATAGCCTCTTGTATAGCTTCCGGCCGACCGGGCGACGAGGCGGTAGCCGAGGAGGAAGCCGGAGATCTCACGGAAGACGCCGTAGGGGACGACGGTGGTTGACTGTAGCCGGGTGGGCTCGGCGCCGGGACGTGATTCCCGGACGCACGCTGGTAATACAGGTCGTTGCAGCTGGTGGAGCTGGACGGCGATGGCGTCGCCGACGTTCTCGTGTTCTCCTCGTCGCGGAACTCGCCCCGGCTGCTCGCGGACTCCTGGTCGTACCTCATGGAGCCGCACACGCGCGCCCCAACCACGCTGGTCGGCGTCGGTTCGCTGCCGACGCTCAACACCTCGCTCGTGTCGCTCTCGCAATCGCTGTCCGCGTTGTTGCATTCCGCTCCCCGCGCCTGATCCCGCTTCTCCGCGTCCTCCGACTCCTGATCCAGCCGCGAGATCAGGTGACTCGATCTGACGTCCGGGTCCGACGAGTCCAGGCCCATCGTCGCCTCCGGCAGCGTGCTCGACATCTTTGCCCGAAGAAGCATCCACTCCTCGCGCAGTGACAGGCTCAGGTTTCCTCGATCCGATCACAACGGAGCTTTCGTAGACCGTGTTTTCATGATGCCCTCTCCTCTTCCCGAAACGAGTCTTCAAATTAATCGTAATTCTCCGGCGGCGCTCGACACCATTTTTAAATGTCTATCTTACGGAAATAATCCGCCCGGCGTTGAGGTGTTATCCTCATATTTACATCTCTGTCCGTTCAAGTTTCACGATTTCTTCTTAACGTACATGGTTGACCAACGAGATTGTACCAACGACTCCGAACAACTCTTTGCGCTGGGGGGAATCTTGCTCCGCAATTTCGCACCTCTGACGCTTGTTTCGACCTCTCGCGAGTCCTATCACCGGCTAAACCGTAGTCTCACTCGGTTTCATCTCGACGGGCAGCCTCGCGAACTGTCTCAGTCAAAGTTTATCCTTCGTCTCACTTTCATCTTTAATTCGTCCCTCGTCGTAGGCTCTCTGACGTTGTTCACACCATAAATTACTCTCGACGAGTTCGTTACTCATCTGTAATACGAGTAATCTTAGTTGGGAATCCCCGGAGCGCGGTCGCGGCGTCCTGTCGTCGCCCACAAAACGTAGCCCTTCCGAGTCCTCGCTATACTAGTCTAACACGATACACTCTCACATGGTCTCGGGCCCTCGACCGGCTGGACGTCCCTTGGGCGCCGTGCAAGGGTCACTGACGCGTTCTCGACGCGACGGCATCGAACGCGCCTCCGTTGCACCAGCCAGTCCACCGTCAGGACGTAAACAGCGGCTGCGACGAAGGCAGGAACGTCGAGAGTCAGCGGATTGCTCCAAGTGGATCGCGCCGGTGAAAACGTGGAGTCCTTCGCGGCGCTGGTAGACGCGAGTTTCGACGAAGCCGTAGTGCGACGCCGTGAAACCGGACCGGGCCTGGTTGTCCAGTTGGTTGCCGCGGAACGTCTGCGGCGAGGAAGCGGCGGGAGGGCCCGCGATGGGCGTTTCTGGGTGTAGACCCGTGGCGCGTACACGCCTCCCAAGGTGACCCCGAAGGGACGAGGCCGTGGGTGAGGGACACCAGCGCTCGACGTCTGGTGGCTGACACGCGGAGCACGCCGCACCGAAACGCCCTAACTCGCCCCACTCGAGCGGTCCCGAGTCTCGGGGGTTCACCTCATAGGTGGTCATCGCGTCCCACCTTCTCGCCCGCGATCAGCGGCGTCACCCTACCTCTCGCCGCGTCCAGAGGCTATCCTCCTCCGTCGCTCTTGCTCCGCTCTCGGGCGATCCCCACCGCGACGCTTGGCGTCGGCTGGGTGGTAGAGGTCTATTGGGGCGGCTGCAGCCAGCCGTCTCTCCCTCTCTTTCGCGCGGACTCTATTCCGTCGCGGCTCGCGGAGTGTACCCCGCGTTTCTTCCGAGTCCTGTGTCTGCCCATGGGTGATACAGCTCGGCCTCCGTCCTCGCTGTCTGTCCCTCTCGCTTTCATCCCCACCGTTTCGCCCTCACCTCGCCTCCCCTCAGTCGCTTCTCTCGTTATTCTCTTCGTTCCGTCTGTTTCGCCTTCTACGTGTTTTACGCGCGCTCTTTTTGATTCCTCTCCAGCCGCACATATATGATTTAACACTTGCCCTCTACTACGCTTAAAACAGATGATATCGTTGCATTTATGTTTAGTTATACGAACGTTCTACACGTTTTCAGGTCTGTTGAACTTGCTCCGACTTTATTAGTCTCTTCCTCCTTTGCATTTATGCTCCTCCGCGTTATCTTTCGCTCGTTACCCCTTGCCAAATGTATTCCTTAATGCGAGATAAAAATATGCGCGCCAGAAATACATTTTTACGCAAGATGGTATCGAAGCTATAAATCAGGCAAAATCATAGACTTGGATCTAGATGTGTCTATAATGAGATCCTCTCGTAATTACGGGGAAGAGCAACTGAATGAGGCAAGTTAAGAGAGCAACTCTCGCGTGACATGGAAATGCAAAGCAGATAAAGGCCGCGAATCATCGGTAGCGATAGAATTACTCGGCTATCGATTCTCCGTGATGCATTTTATTCTCCCGGAGAAGGTAGCGTGCATGCAGCTCGTGAATCATGTATTCATTTTTCGCCCAGCCAGTGAGGAGCTCGGGCGCGCGTCAACATGATCCCGAAGCGATCGTTAAAGCTCATTATAAGTCGATCTTCATGCGGATAAGGATGTAACGGAGGTAAAAACCTATCAGCTTGTAAATTCCGAGCCTGCAGATTTTGTATACGCCAGCAGATTAATCCTGCCATCTCGCACTCGATATTAGACGTCTGTCCGTGTAATCAATTTACACTTCGATGTTTTTAACACTGCAACCATTTAATTACAGTAACATTTTTTTAAATAAAAGTCGACATCTCATTTCGGACAAGTATTACATTTTTCGGCCGTTGAAAATAACACGATGAAAATTAACCAATCGAAGCAATTCTGTTGATCAATGGAGCCCTATTTATTATCTACAGTCTCCTCGCGAGAAGGTGCTGTACCGCACGGCCCTCTAGCGGGAACCTCGACAGGCTTGGTTATCCAAAAATACTTCACGTGTCCAAAATTACTTTAAAACTTCTCAAGTAAACTATTAACTTTTTTAAGTAAACTTACAGATTTGAAAGATTACTTTCACAAATTTTAATTTTATCTAAAGTAATTAATCCTTGAGAGATTCCAATCACAAGTACTACGAATAATAGTAGACGCACCATGGTATGTGACAAACGAAATCATAAGAAGAGATTTACATATGCCAACCGTGAAGGAGCAAATAAACAACTTTTGTAAAATATATGTCAACAAACTAGACAATCATCCTAATCAACTAGCAACTAGGTTACTTCAAGAAAATTATGACAAAAGAAGACTAAAGAGACTCAAACCACTGGATAACCAAAAGAGATTCAAATAAATTAAATTGACGCATAGGCCACGAGGCCCAGGAATTATAACCCAGCTCATGTAAACTAAAGTTAACATGAGAATGTAAACCAAAAGGTGTTTTCTAATGGCAAAACACCAGCACACTTATAGTATAATAAAAGATTTACTTATTGTCAAAATTTGTGACAGATTGTAAATAACTCTGGGAGTTAATAAAACAAAATTTAAAGTAAACTTTTCCAAGGGCCGCGCTGGACTCTTCCAACAAATTTTCATTTCGCCAACCCGTTGTTTGCGGCTTTCAGTGTGTGCACGCGCTTCTAGAGTCGCACAAATAACAATCCACGGAGAAACCGATGTACGCTCGGCCATCGTGCGAGCTACCGTAATGACATATTGTTAGTGGCACGTTAACACCTTGTAAATTTGAGTACGACATTTACCGTGAAGCGAGCGAGAAGCGAGACTATCGCGAGGTTTATAAATTCTTCCCATCGGCTTATTTATTCCCACTGTGTATTACAACGTTAGCCGCGATAATAAAATTATATATATCCTCGTCACGAAACAAGGCGTATTCGTTCCGCTTTGCTCTTCTCACTGAATAATTGAAATGCCAGATGAGATTCTAAGGCCGAGATTACACGTACATTTTTCTGTGCGACACGCGCATCGTTTTGCAATGTAATGCGTGATACGCGTTCGCGTCTACCTTATTCATGCCCCGCAACAAAGTTTCGCTCTTTCCATTACAGTTTTCGATAAGCGTAGTTTCGATAAGCGACGACTTCGAAACGTATCGTTGCACGGAGATCGAGGGGAAGAAAATGCGTCGTAATTCCGGTAAAATTGACGAAAACGGTTATTCGAGCGGGGTAAAAGATCGGGAACGTGGTAGTTTCGCCGGGGCGTACGGTGCACGTAATGACGGAAAAAAGACGTCGGTTAACAGCCGCGATCGCGGGATTAAGGACGATATCCTCGCTCGCAGCATGTACTCCAGCCTCGAACTCGTTACCGTCGGCTGGCTTCGTAAATTTCGTTAACGCGGGCTACCCCTGCATTCCCGCCTTAACGAGCGTCCACGCGCTCGTTAGTATCCCTAAGGCCTTCGCTTAGGTACACCCTGTAAGTTAGCCGGGACTTGCTGCGCTCGCTAATTCGTAAGCGGCTACTCTCATTCGTTGAGAGGATGCAGCTCGCTCTCGTGGAACGAGGTGATGCATCCTTCCCAGGGGCGGATCTGCGGTGGCGAATCCCACGTGTGTCTTCGCGGAAACTATCTCGTTTCGCGTCTCATCGCGCTGCTCAAATGAACGCCGCCGGCATTTTGCAGGAGTACTTTTGGCAATTCAGTCGATCAACTCTTCTCTCGCTGAGCGAACAGAGGAGTAAATGAAAATTGCGCAAGGAATGATATAACATTGACGATCGCGGCTGCGCATCGACGAAACAAAACTATTCTCGCGGAACGTTATCCTTTTTGTAACAAATTGTGTTACAATTCGGTATTTGCGGTCTAAATAAAATTATGAGAGATGTTATCTCAATTCGGGCATCCGTTTCTGTGGCGTTGAAACCGCTTCATGTTTCTCAAATATATAGAGCGGATTTTTTTTATATCTCTTTTATTTATATTAGATTGCATTTTTTGATCGTGACAATACAATCCAGCGCCGCATAACACGCGGGCGCATCCTTCATAGGAGTGAATCAATTTGCATAATTTACACCTTAACGCCCGAGTTGACTAATTTTACGCCACTGATTTTTATCTGAACCCCCAGATTTTATTTTAATTGTGGCATCCGTGTTATTTACGTTCCGTACAGATACGAGTCCGCCTAACGATACAATAATTTACACCGTGCGAAGTTAGTGATGCATAATAAGGCTGGGAAAGCTCTTTTTAACGTGATTTACGACGCATCCGTGTGAAGCGCGTAACATGCGGCAAACTAAAGTTCTTTCCGTGACATACAAAATTGCGCTGCGCAAAGTCGGCGCTGCCGCGGGACGTAGGTTTTCGTTTATTTTGATTTATGACTCGGCTCGCGCAATTACAGAAGTCTTAATACTTCAAATCGAATAATGACGCGGGCGTCTCTTCAACGGGGAAAATATTAGGCGGACATTTTTCAGCCTGAAGCTTTCCACTTTGTCCCGTGAATTTTTATAGAAAAGTACTGAGATTTATCTCGACACCTTTCAATTTCTTTGAGCGTATACAGAGCACGCTCTCGAGACTCGGAGCTACGTTAACAGGAGGATGCGTCCCTGTTACTGTGCGTACGTATCGATTTCTCGAGTATCAGGCTACCCGGCAGCATTAGCATGGCAAAGAAGGCGCCAATTTGGCCCTGATAGCGGCCTGCCGTAAGGAACAGGGAAGGACACTATTCTATCGCGTGCTTTGTCTTTACGCTGTTCCTCTTTGTCCCCCGTTATAGTGTGCAGCGTCGATTTTTCTATTTAATAGCGATGATACGTTAGTACACTCGTTAGGAATGTTCGAGTCGAAAACTCGAATCGGAATCGAACATCCCTAAGTCACTCTCTTGTTTAAACACACAGACGTTATCCCCGACGCGATTGAACTTATTAAAAAAAAAACGGCAGAAAGGCTTGCCGTTTACGCAATTAATTGAAGCAAACTCCGTTGAGATCTGTAGATAGAATTCTTCCTTAATTAGTTCCCCTTCGCACATAGATTATGGAGAATTAAATCTTACAAATCATTAATCCGACTCGCCTGACAGTCGAGTTGGAGGGAACGGCCCGTAATGTAATTAAATTATTATTAATTGGACATTTAGATAGAACCACGATGGACAAATTGCCCGTCGTTTGATAAGGTAGATACACGGAGTTGCGCCACATCGCAATAATGAACATCATTGCCCGCGCCGTGCGTCGCCCGTGACTGTGTGCAAAGATAAATTACGGCGGAATTCACAATGGAGTCTTTATCAGATATTCGCGGGATGCAGCGCGTCGCTCATTATTAGGAAACTTCTCTTCGGCGGCGAATCCATCCGGCGCAATCGTCACTCGCCGGCCAAATAATCGCGATGTTGCAAATTGCCCGGGTCGCAATAATGTACCACGCTGCAGGCGCTAAATTTCGTGGGATCACGCGAGAAGGCTCGGGCTATATTCACGATGGGAAATCACCGAGGTGCATCTATCAGACTTATCTGACGGCGCAGTACCTCTGGCGAACGCCCGACAACCTTATTTATGGCCTGCAACGAGAAACAGACAGCCGCGGTCAACGAAACGATTCGATTGGAAACGATATCGTTTAATCAATCGCATTGTTCGGCGAAGGTAAAACATTTTTATACAGCAAAGAGAGAGAGAGAGAGAGCGGGATTAAACGTGCTCGTGGCCGATGACACTTCTGCTTTATGACACCAGGCTTTAATAAAGCGACCGAACGTTTGCCGAATAAATCGCTCTAATAAACAATTGAAATTTTATCGGGCAAAATTGACGCGCGACAAATGAAAATTTCTAGCACACTGTTAACACTCTGAAAAATCTACATCTCTCTTCCCTCGCGAGCAATAATGCCCTCGGAAGCCTCCCTTCCTCGCGTCAAGTCACAGACCGAAGTCGGGCCTGATCTCCGTAAAAAAATTCGACGTTTCGTTTCTCATTTTCGCGAGTTCACAGTTTACCGCCGCGCGGTCGTGCCTCACCGATCTCTTAACGGAGCCTCGCTTCAAGATAGCGCGAGAAACTTGGGTGGCGAGAGGGAACGCGATCGTAGCCGAACGTAACTTCCGCCGGGCGCTATCTCGGCGCTCCACACCTCTGCTTTATTTCGGCATATGTACGCGGTGCCAAGCTCACACACGTGGCACGGATACGCGCGCGGTGGCACGTCAAGTAAGCGGATACGTACGCGGGCTCTCGTGCGCACCGCGCGTACGGCTCGAGGGTGTATTGGTGATCCGCACCCGGTGAAACCCCGCCTCTCGGCTTCGTATCGCGCGATAACTCGATTACCCACGATAACCGAGTATTTATTAGCCTGTGAGATTTCATTTTGATATCCGCCCTCTCCCCCCCCCTCTCTCTCTCGCGCGCGCGCGAGCGCGGTCCTATCTATCTCCCGGTTCTTTGCCTTCCACTTCTCGTTCTTACGCGTATACGCGCCTTTTCTGATCGAATGGTTAAGTGAAAGATATTCGTGAAAAAGCATTGCAATTTCGTACGTTTTCAGAAGTTACTTTTGTGAACAGCGTTTTTTAATAGAGGAATGACTCCTTTTTGTTCCAAATATGAATGAATTTTTGTATCTGAATAAATTTGAGAATAAATTTCTGTCACAAAATAACTGCATAATATTTCTGTAATTCTCTGAAGTAATAATCGATGGACTATTGGATTAGAATCGACAACGAACTTGTAATCTATTACAATACTTTGAGCGCAGTTTACTGGAATGTTTTCCCTTGCAGACTAAAGAAATTTTATCTGACTGTTACACTACGAAATTTGTCTCAGAGATTGATTTCACACTTAGAAAGGTTGTTTTATTGAAATTAAATTGGTTTTGCAAGAGGTCGCGCGCAGGGAACGATCGATCGTGATATACGTATGTATCGAATTACGAGCGCGGATTATCGTTGGGCGAGGATCAACGCTCTACCAGGGTGCACGATAATTATTTCTGCGTTAGCCATAATTATTGTCGGAATGGCAATTAATTCTTGCCGGAGCGGCAATTAATTTATTGTGGCTTGATTAATTACCGCATGGTAGGCGGGCGAGACAGTTCGTTACTGCGGCTGATTGCCCTTTTGCTGCACAATAAGGTCCTTAGGTCCTGGCAACGCCTCTTTTTCGGAAAGAGTTTGGTGACATTGAGATTTAGTTGATGCACGAGTAGTCGCACCGCAATAGCGTGTACCACTTTCTCCTTCTTTTACTTTTAACAACGTTAAATAGAAAAGAAAACAAATTCTATCAAATATTATTTTATCTTGTGTAATACGATATGTTTATTGAAACAAGTTTGCTATGATGACATTATCCTTTACTTAGTTAAATATTATAACGAAAGGAGAAAATGTTACACATTATTTCATATTTGACTGTAGATTGCACACTGACATTGTCTTCTACTCATATTGAAATCTAATGTATAAAATTTTACTAACTCTTATCCTCTTTTATAACAGAAATTCAAATTGTACAAATAGTGTCACTTACTTGTTACGACACATCTCGTCCATCATTCGCTCCGTTATAAATAATTAAAGCGAAAGCTATGTTCAAATAATGTTCTTCTCCTGTTAGATGAATCGAGAACCGGTCGTTCTCAGCGATTAGCGCGTTTTTCTTCCATTATCGAGGGATCAAACGATAAATGACGGTCACGGTTCGTCTTGCGGGTGAGATATTATACGCGGAGTTTTCACTTTTCATCGGGGGTATCCCATTTGTGGGGCGGCGATTGACCGACGTTTCTGGATCCGTCTCGTGAGACGAATGCGTTGTTTGGGAAACACGATTTGTTCCGTTCCGTGACCATTATATCCCGAAACATCTGAAATTTTTCAGGATCAGCCAGGTAGACGTTCGGCTTTCGTCACGCCGGTTTCTAGATCCTTTCGCGGCTGATCACATGTGTCACAATAAATGGCATATACATCTACGAACATATACATAAATAAAAATATGTACATATATGATTTTTCTGAAAAACAAAATGACATGTAAATTAAGAAATATCAGATGGTAAAATAAATTATAAAATATGCGCAAATCGAAATATAAAGTAAATAAAAAAAAATCTTACGGATCCGTAGGTTACAAGTAGAATTCCGATTAAACAGTTGCTTCTCGTTTTAAGATTGCGCCAAGAAATAAAATAAAATTTCATATTAAAGTCTTGGAACTTTTTTAAGGCGCTGGGGATAGGATCGCTCTTAACTTATTCGTTTATATCATAAGTCATTCCCGTTGCAGTAAGAGGCTAACATTGTATTTATACGAGGTACGTCAGATAAGACATGCCAGAACGCAATCTTCTTCTATTATTTATTGGAAACCTGGATACACTCGAGCTTAATCATAAATATTATGAGTCATGATACAACACTATATTTACAGATAATTAATCGAGCAGTTGAGTCCTGATACTTATTGTTAGCTTGATGCTCGAAGGACGGAGGGGAACAGGCACGGGGACTTGGAGTCAATGTGGAGCAATGAGAAACGGGGGGAGATGCTGTAATGTTAAATTATACGAAACGTGTAAAGAGGGGAACGACCAGGAGGGGAAATTAATATTTCACACACGGTGGCGAAAAATCGCGCGAGGTCGGCAAATTTCTGAATAAATATTAAGACGAGAACTGAGCTACGCGACTCTTTGGCGGGGCGGTCTCGTAAAATATTATTTAATCCTCGCTGGCCGTACACCCGATTGCGTTTCCGCGTAATTTTCTTGTGTTCCATTCTTTTTCTTCCTATTATATAGGGTTCGCACCTTCGATGCTACGTATATATAAGTGTATAAACCTAGGCATATTCGTTTGTTATATAATTGATACTCAGTTAAAATCTTAATACATTATTCACAAACATTCAGGAACGAGGAGATTCGGTCGCCATTAAATAGACAATTTAATTTTGGCTCGTGCTACTCGTTGCGAACTAAATCGATTCGCCGCAAAACGATATGAACTTACTTGCTCTCTAAAAATTGAGATGGGTTTGCTTTCAAATGTTGTGCTATGTGTTTTGATTATATGATAATTTAATGTAAGAAAAATTGCAGAAGAAGGTGTTTTTTCTTACTTTGCGCGTATTTGGTTCATACAATTGTTATGTGAATATCTTCGGAAACAGATATCTGTGTATTAAAAAAATTATTTAATCCTCGCTGGGACATTTTTCTGTTGTCGGTGGTACTTTGATTAATATTTTTATTAATAAAGTTTATATGCTCCGTTTGACATTGTTAAGTTAACTGTTAGATATTCCTCCTGTTAATTTCTGTTAGTTAATTTCTTATATTAATCGTTTAAGCGAATTGCAAATAGCAAAAAAATTATGTTCACGTTCCTGAATATGGCGAGTAATGTCATAGATAAAGACACATATGTATAAGTACTGAATCTTATCAACGGCAATTAAGCGTCGTTACTGACGTTACGTTCGTTTTGATCTCTAAACGTGCCGTATGCGAGATCGAAGTAAGCAATAAAAAAGAAAAGAAAGAAGACTCACCATGTCGATCGCAAGTAAAACTGTGTTAAATTCCCAGTGAGAAATGATTCGTCGAAACGATGTCGATTCGACATCAATTTCACGGTGTCGATTCGACATCGATCGACGGGTCATTTCTCGCTGGGTTACCAATCGACGCGGTAAAAGTCGAAGTCTTATTCCGTTGACCGCACATCCGGCACCGAGATCGTGGCAATATCGACGACTTCTATCTCTGTTTATCGATGAGCGATAACTCGCTACAGATACCTCACTCGATGTATGTATTACATCGATTAATTGACGAATGAGTATCGATTAACACTTCGGTAAGTAAGAGAAGCGAGAGTATAGCAGCGAATAATTATTTATATGTAAAAAAGCATTCGCACACAAAGGATCGATGAGACCTATTATATCCATGGGAGCCTGAATTATCGACGACTATCAAAATACGTAAGGCACTTCGCACTGTGTCAATCCCACGCTTACCTTAAGAAGTTAATAAAGAGCGGAGTAAAGTACATAAAAAAAAACTCTTCTAAAATTTTTACAAATCCGATATTCTTCCGATTCGTAAAGATAGTCAACTTAATTGTTATCGCGTTTTAATTGCATCATTTATCAGCCAATGTCGACTTACCAGTGGCTCGAAGTTCAGTCATTTATATCGACCATTTCCTATCTTAACGACGCATTCTTACATTATCGGCGGAGCAATTCCTTGGCGGGCTCCATGCGAAAAGATGCGAGTATGTACATACATACATCGCGATCTGATTGGGATGAAGCGAGAAGAGGCCTCCGCATGCTAGAAATGTTACCCTAGTTGATCCGGCCTTTGTGCGTCATGTAGCTTATACTATCCGACAATAGTTTTTCTCTCGCTTGCCGTCGCATTCGCGAACACATGGCTAGTATCGTGCCGGCCATGATGCAGAAGAAGCCACAGCTGAGACCCACTATTGTACTGGCCACTGTCGATCTCAAACATACCCTGTCAGTCGTAGGCTCGCTAAATCCTGTGGGAGAAGAAATGCAAATTTAGAAAAATTACAATTATAACAATAACACGCCTTGTACAGGGTGTATCATTAAAGCTGTCCCAGCCTTTTACCATGAGAGTTGGATTGCCGACTGCAACTGTAGCCAACTCTGGAAAAAACTGGAAAAAAATCCCGTTATATATGTCTCAATCATGTAAAGCCTAAGTGCATCTTGAGAGATACAATTAAATATTATATGATTGAAACATATACAGGGTGGGCCATTTTAATTTATACAGTCGATTTTTTAAAAAACTAAAAGAGATATGAAAAAATGTTTCAGACAAAAGTTGTATGGTTTCGAGGGGGACATAAGATGGTACCATAGGTTTGACCTTGAAGAGTAATTTGAAGGTCACATGAAGGTTACCTTCAAT